AAATTTCAAAATGTTTCATCCTCACAGAACCTCCTGTCCTTTCGCAGATCCTCTTCATTTCCTTCTAATCACTTTCATGGTGCCCCCAGCACTCGTTCATCACTAATCTCCATTCTGTTGCCTATTATGGACATTTCATGTACTCAGAATCATATAATGTGTATCCTTTTGTGTCTGACTTTTCTCATTTAGCATAATGTTTTCAAGGTTCATCTATTTCAAATCTTGTATCAGCACCCCATTCATTTTTTATGATAGAATAACATTCTATAATATAGATATACTGTATTTATTCATTTGTTGGTTGGTTGGTTGATTTGGTGTTTTGAAACAGAATCTTACACTGTAGCCCACTCTGGCCTCCAAATACTGGGATTACAGGCCTGAGGCATCACCCAACACACCCTGCCTTACCCATCAACATGGACATTGGTCTGTTTCCATTTGGGGACTAATATAAAATAGTGCTGCTATCTCTCATATACAAATTATTGCTTGACATTTTTATTTCTAATATATATATATATATACCTAGTAAAAGAGTTGCTGGGTTATATACTACCTTTCACCCCAAACGTGCATCTCAAAATTCCAATAAACAACCATCCCCCACCATCCTCATAAGTGAAGTGCAAATTTGATATCCTCCCACACATCTTTCGAGATGAATATTCCTGTGCAGGACTCAAATATGCTGCATTTATGTCCCAACTTTTTTTTCCTGACATTTGAGGTTTAGCGTGATCAGGCTCTGTCTTTCTCTTCCTTTTTCATTCTTTCTTTTCTTTTTCTTTTTTCTTTTTTTTTTTTTGGTTTTTTTGAGACAAGGTCTCTTTGTAGCTGTAGCTGACCTGGAACTCACTATTAGACCAGGCTGGCTGGCTTTGAACTCACAGAGATCCGCCTGCCTCTGCCTCCCGAGTGCTGGGATTAAAGGCTGCACCACCACGCCCAGCCTTACTTTTTATATTTAACATTCTGAGCAACTTTCAGACCGTTTGCCAGTATAGCTGTGTCATTTTGCTTTCCCACCAGCTTCTAAGGGTTCCAAATTCTCCATATCCTCGATAAATTTTGGTCTTATATATTTTTATATTATTATTATTATTACTATTGCTATCTTAATTAGAATCTCATTTTGCTATTAATTAGCACCCCCCCCATATTATTAGTGATGTTAAGGAACTTTTCATGTGCTTATTGGTAACTTCTTTGGAGGAATGTCCATTTAGTTTTGTGACTACTTTTAAATTCAGTTTTCATCTTTTATTAATGACTTGTAACAGTTCTGCTTGTGAACATCCAGTTGTCCCAGCACTAATTTTCAAAACCTAAATTCCTTTTACTATTTTCATTGTTTTGGCACCCCTATTGAAATCTATTAACTGTAAATGTATCTGGTTTTCCTGGACCTCAGTTCTGTCCTATTGTCTATCCTTATATCTGTAATGTAGTGGCTTCTTTCTTCCCATATGAATAGCTGTGTTGCTGTTCCTGCCCCAACCCTAACCCCTAGCACAATGTAGAATAGAAGTGTTAACAGAGGGCACTTTTATTTTGTTCTTGATATTTTAGGGGAAAGACATTCATTCTTTCACCTTTGAAAAATCTATAGGTTTTTCATAGTGTCCTTTGATAAGGAGATTAAAGTGATTAAGGAGGCCTAGAGATTTGCACTTAAACAATGGAGAGAATGCCTCCAGGGCAATCCACACACAGTGCTGCAGTCCATCCCAAATTTGCAGCCAAACTTGGCAGTATCTTTCACCTGGTGCTGGCTTTAGAGGCATGAAAGATGCAAGAGTGCAGGGGTCATTGGTTCTTCCTCAAGGTTTCAGCAAGCCTCTGAGGCCAGGGAGCATGTAGCAGGAGTTCCCCTGCATAGAGAAGGCCCTGATGGGCCATTGCGTGAAGCTGTGAAGGTGAAGCCTGGTTGGGCAATGGAGACCCCAAGAAAACATTCATGGTGCCAGACCTGTGAGGCATCTCCCAAGAAGACTTGCATGCAGGGAGTGGTACCAACCAAAGAGAGAGATGTATGTTGCACGCAGCAAAGTTGGAGGGGCTGAGCCATCTAAGCCCTGTGGAAGTAAAGTTCCAGAAGTCATACATGGAGCTACTGGATTTGGTGTTTGTCCTACTGGTTTTGGGTCTTATTTTGGTCCAGTATTTCCTTACTATGCTTCTATTCCTCCCTTTTGGAATGGCAGTGTGTATTCAGTTCCACTGTATGTTGGGAGTATGTCATTTGTCTTTTGATTTTACAGGGGCTTACACTTAAGATATTTCCCTGAGTCTCAGAAGAAACTTTGGACTCTGGACTTTTGAATAGTAGTGAGATTGATAATGACTATGGGGCTTTTAAAGTTGGACTAAATGCATTTTGAATTTTATATGATCATGAGCCTGTGGGGGCCAGGGTGTGCAATGTGGTGGTTTGAATGAAAATGTCCCCCATAGGCTCCACATATTTGGACGTTTTGTCCCCAGATGATGGTGCTGTTTTGGGAAGTCTTAGAATGTGTGGCTATCCTGGAGGAAGCACATCACTGGGGGTGGGCTTAGAGAGTTCTTAAGCCTTGCCAGATCTCCAGTTGCTCTCTTGCATCCTGTGCCTGCATGATGATGTGAGAGCTTAGCTTTTGCTGCTCCTGCTCCAGCCACCTCCAGCCACCATGCCTCCCTGCTTTGATGGGCTGTAATTCCCCTGGAACCATAAGCTCAAATAAATTCTTCCTTCTGTAAATTGCTTTGGTCCGTGTTTCTGTCACAGCAACAGAAAAGTGACTAATGCAAATGGCCAGGTGTGGTGACACACACCTTTAGTCACAGCACTCAGGAGGCGGAGGCAGGAAGATCACTTGATTTTGAGGTTAGCCTGGTCTACATAGTGATATCCAGACCAGCTAAGGCTACATAGTGAGACCCTGTCTTAAAAAAAAAAAAAAGAAAAGAACAAAAGGGGTAATACTAATGTAGATCTTAAGGATTACAAGAGAATAATACAAACAAATGCTATGTGGACACAAGCTATATAAGCTAGATGAGATGGTCAAGTTCCTGGAAAGCTACGAACTAAAATTAACTTAAGAAGGTACAAAATATTTGAACAAATTTGTAAAAAGGAGAGTTATTGAAACTTTAAATGCACCCACACATTCATACATATACAAAATGACCAGCATAAGATGGTTTCACTTGTAACTTCATCCAAGCAGTCAAAGAAAAAATAGAATTAACCTTTGACAAATCTTATGAACAGATAGAGAGAGAAAACACTTTCTAGTTCGTAAGAGGCCAGTGTTTCTCTAATATCAAAATAAAAATACAGGGAAACACAATCAAAAATCCATATGAATATAGACACAAAAAATCTTAACAAAATACTAGAAAGCCAAATCTATTAACATATATAAAGCATTATACACAATGACCATGTAGATTTTACCAAAAAATGCAAGGATAGTTTGACATCCATAAATCAATTATTATAATAAAACATATTAATAGACTAAAGGACAAAAATCTGTGCAATTATCCCAATAAATACAGAATATGCATTAGACAAAATATCTTTTCATGATAGAAAGTATTCATCATACAAGAAATAGAAGGGAACTTTTTCAACCTGATAAAGGACAGCCACATTTCTACATTATGCTGTCTTGAAATTTCTTCTGCCAGAGAAATTAGTCCATTGCTTTTCAACTTAGCCTCAGGAAAGGTTTTTGGCTGTGGGCACACTCCAGCCAGAGTCTGCCAAAATGTCCCAATTGCTGCTTAAGTCCTTATTTCCAGGCACCTACTAGAATGGCCTGTTATGCTCTGCTTACAGCAATCAACTGCTTTTCTAGCCCAACCTTCCAAAGTCTTCCACATTTTTTCAAAACCCCACATGGTCAGGTTCTTCACAGCCAACACCCCACTCCTGGTACCAATTACTGTATTAGTCACTTTTCTGTTGCTGTGATAAAACACTGACCAAAGTAATTTATAGAAGGAAGAATTTATTTAGTCTATGATTCCAGAAAGATTAGAGTCCATAATGGCAGAGGAGGCATAGGGTAGGGGTGGAGCAGGAGCAGCAGAAGCTAAGCTCTCACACCATCACACAGGCACAAGAAGCAAGAGAGTGACTGGAGATCTGGCAAGGCTTAAGAACTCTCTAAGCCCAACCCCAGTGACTTGCTTCCTTCAGGATAGCCACACCTTCTAACACCTCCCAAAATACCACCACCATCTGGGGACAAAATGTTCAAATACATGGAGCCTATGGGGGACATTGTCATTCAAACCACCACACCACTGTTCCCACTTTTGTTCATGATATGTAATTTTGAGTATTTTTCTCTTTGTCAACTCTGTTTTTTGTTACTGTTATTGTTGTTTTTTTTTGTTTTTTTTTTTAATCAGTGTATTTTTTTTCCATCTGAAGGTGGAAAGGTAAGTTATTGATTTTTTTTTAGATTTTAATTCTATTTAATATGTTTATAAGTAGTGATGTATTTCCCTATGAGCATTGCTTTATCTACATCTCATAAATTTTGATATTTTGTGTTTTCATTTTCGTTCAATTCATCAAAAATAAAATGAAGGGCTTTTTCTTCTCCTCTTCCTTCAGCCACATGTACATGTTAGGCAAGTGCTCTGTACCCCTATCCCTGAAAGATATTTTCTAATTTCCTTTTGGTTTCTTATTTGACTCAGTGGCTATTTAGGAGAGTGATACTGAATTAACATGTATTTGTGAATTTCTGAGATTTCTCATTTCATTACATTGCAGTGAGAGAATATAATTTGTACTATTTCAATCCTGTCTTTGGGGTTTATTTTATGACCTGGCACAGATTATATCCTGGAGCATGTCCCATATATTGAGAGAGAGGGAGGGGACACTGCTCTTGTTGAGTGAAATGTGCTACAGATAACTTTTTGGCTTACAGTGTTATGTTAATGGTGCTTGTTTGTTTGTTTATAATCTCACTTTTCTTTTTTTTCAGCTGATGAGTTAATCAGTCCTAAAGACATTGATCCTGTCCAGCGCTTTGTCCCACTACAGAATCAACGTAATGTGAGCATGAGATACTCCAATCAGGTAAAGAGATTTTTGAGAATTCCATACACGAGACTGTATTTACATAATTTCCACCTCTCCATCTCCCCACTTCAACTCCTCCCATTTACCCCCTCTGCTTTCTTCAATTTCTTGACCCCTTCTTTAATTATTATTGTTATATTTATGTATGTATATATGTATGTGTGTGTATATATATATGTTATATATGTATGTATAAGTAACATGCTGAGTTGAGCAACATTTAATGTTGCTTGTATGTGCATGTGTTTAGGGCTGGCTACTTGAGATTGTTATATATGTATGTATAAGTAACATGCTGAGTTGAGCAACATTTAATGTTGCTTGTATGTGCATGTGTTTAGGGCTGGCTACTTGAGATTGGATAATCTATCAGAGAACTTTATACCTAGAGAAACTTTGTATGGTCTTATCTGTAGCCCTGACTGACCTGGAACTCTCTATTTAGACTATGCTGGCTTCAAATTCATGGAGAGCCCTCTGCCTCCTGAGTCCTGGTGTTAAATTGGTGTGCCACCACATTTGGCTAAAGCGATGTTTTAATTCTTAATTTAGATTCATCCAAAGATATTTAAACCTGAATTAAAGGGGAAACTTTATTCTGAATTTCTTTTTTTCTTATTTTTTTAATTTTTTTTATTTAATAACCACATGATTAGAAGAAGCATTTCATT